TATACAGATATACATATATACATATACAGATACAGACATGTATATATATATATACATATGTATATATTTCATTTTTTGGAATGTACATATGTAAGTACAGATGGTCAGGCGTCTGGCGTTCCTGGCCCCCCATTTCGAAGCCTTATAAGTTTAACCTTAAGCCCTAAACCCCAAGCTCAAAAGCTTAAGCTAGACCCGAGAACCCAAAACCCCACAACCACAACACAGGGGGAAGAGGGACCCCACACCTCACCCACAGAGGGGGGGAAGCATGCTGGACCATGGACCATGGGGGGGGTGGTGGCGGCCACGGAGCGCCTGACCTTATATGTTCAGGCTTCTTGTCCCTATGATTCTCAGACTCATTTCCTTCCAAGCTCCCCGGGACGGCCCCTGCTTTGGTTAGGATCGCTAGGCAGGGTCGATGGGTGACGCTGTGGGGCAGAGGGCTCTGCGGTTTGGGAGGGCGGATGAGGAGTTCCCGTCACTGCCGCGGAGGAGGGGGGGGGGGCCGCAATCCCGGAGCCCATGCGAACTGGCCAGGCCGTGGTTCTGGGTCTGGCGGGATCCGTTTCGGTATGGGTGGGAAGGCAGCGGTCATGCGGGAGGATTTTGTTTGGGTGGACCAAGCGAGAAGAGCGATCTTCTTCACGATGGTAGTCTCGTGTCGTCGTTCGTTCAGAGTTTAGGCTTGGTTTTGTTTTGTTGCCTTGTTGTTGCCTTGAGCTTTTGGGTTCGAGGTCACGTTCTGTGTTAGTCCGGGCCCGTGCCGTGGTCAATCCCTCACCTCACGTCGCCTTACATCAGCTGAGCTCACTGCTTGCCATCATCAACACCAGCATTCTCGCGATTTTGTGTGGGCTGGGTGTAGTTGTCGGTGCTTCAGCCCCGGAATCCGTTTCTGGGAAGTAAAGTTGAGGGTTAATGAGTTTGCAAGCAAGCACTTCGCGTAGTAGGGCTTCTGAGGTGTTGTTCCAGATTTGTGGATTTTCTGTTGCTTGTTCCCCCGGGTCCGTGTTGGGGATTCTTCCTTGCTGGTTGTGGTCGAGGACCCCGGAGGCGGCACTAAGGCATGAGGTGGGGAGGGTCTCCTCATCTTAAGCCGACGAGCACCTCAACCGTCAGCAGGATAGGACGAACCCAAGGGGGCGGCGCGCTCCCCCAGGGCTACATGCAGCAGGCTTCATGATTTGCAACGATTGGACACCGGTTATCGCGACCTAACTGGGCCTAGTTACCGATGTTTCGCAACCTCTTCTTGAGGCATGAATGGGCATAGATCCGCTGCAGGAGACTGCCTTGTGGGATGCTATTGTAGAGCATATCGAGCCGATTGAGGTCCTTCGCAATACTGTCAAAAGATGGAATCTTTTCTTTTGCTTCTAGCGATCAGCATGAAATCGCTGAGAATGTGCTGCTCCTGCTTGACGTTGACCTGCTGGGAGACATTCCGGTTCGCAAGGCACCCAAGCAGCCATGCCCCACCGACATAGTCCCTACTTGGGCTCCGCTACCAACCTGTTCCTTCACACCTGTCGGCACGCGCCCACCCGTGCATCTCCAGCCTCCTCCCGGTGTTGGACTTGCACCGGAGCCTTAGGGCTGCTACCGCCTATGCAACTTGGCTTGAGCAATCCTGTGTTTGTATAGCTAAATGCCTGGTGGCTAAGCCCGAGGCTCCGAGCGGGGTTTTGTGCTCAGGTATAGAAGGCGGGCTTGGCCCTGCTGCAGGCTGGCTTAGAGCCATCGGAGCGGTCACGACAACGGCCTGGCCCTAGCCGCCTGATTTCTCACTTTGTTTCACTCTGAATTCATGTGCTAGGCGAGCGTCGGACACGACACCAACGAACGGTTGGGCTATCTCCACCGTCGGGGGCCGCGGGAGTAGGGTCTACTCTGGACGCCATTCCCCACAGGCGGACACTGGTGGCAGGCATCGATCGTGGGACCTGTGACCGAGATTTGCCAGACATGGCAGATCTCGCACAACGGCAGTGGTGCGTGCGCACATCGTCCTCGCTTTCGTCGTTTCGTGTTGTTGTTGTTTGTTGCTGTTGCTGGTCGTTGTGTTGCTGGGGCTGGCTATCCAGGCCTTGCACCGGAGCGGCCGCCCTTTTGTTAGGCTTGTGACTCAGGCGATGCTCACCTCATCTCACCTCACCTCAGCTTGTTACCAGAACTAGCAATAATAAGAACTTTCGTATCGATGCTACCTCCGACATCCAATTATTGAATTTGTTCGACAGAGCCAGACCGGGAAGTCTTCTTCCTACAGCTGGAGGTACAATGCCGCATTTGGCGCTGCCCAGAGGCAAGGGGTGTCGTGTCAGGCAATTTTGAGCCGGTTGCGGATTCTCACAGGTTTTTTTCGATGGTTCGGGCTCGGGTCGGAGAGTCGCAGACCCCGACAATTGCAGGCGAAGGCGGCAGTACCTGTTGGTGTTGCTGTGTTGGGATAGCAGCAATGCGACGAGTCTGGAGCGGTAGCCGGCGACGTTCGTACTCTAATCCTAAGAATATACTGCATCCCGAGTCCGAGACTTTCGCACTGAAGACGTCGAGGGTTGCGCAAAGTTGTTGGCAACGACGGGCGATTCGCGAGGCCTCCGAAGGCCGTTGTTTCTGAACCTAAGGCCCCCAAACCACAAAGCTTTGTAAGCTGGGCGGGTGGGAACAAAGCCCCAAAGCCCTCTTTAGCGTTTCTTCGGCTAGCTGGCTGGACCACTGGAAGGAAGGTGGCTGTGGGTGCCTTCTTTACATCATATCATGTCATATCACACTTGAGGGCTCGAGCAGGGCCAGGCCCGCTACCGTTGGATCTGACCATGGTTGCTCAAATGCTTCGCCCGGCTTGTCGAGAGTCGCAACCTGGAAGGGTGGAACGTAGCATTGAGATAACGAGACCAGCAAGTCCGACGTATCGTGGTGCCGAGACACTATAGCCTAAAAAACTCCAAAGTATGCCTAGCCCGAAACTCGCGAGGCAATCCGTGGGCTTCAAGGGCCAAGGCCCGCCAGCCGACAGATTCGACGCGAAAGGCGGCCCGAGCTTCAGGGGCTGCGTGGCGATCGCAGACATAAGGTCGAGGCTTTGGAATGCCTTCTTCAAGTTCTTATCCCCTCTAGTTCTACACACCCCGAGCCGAGATTTTGGAAGTTCCAGTTTGAAAGCGGCAGTTCTCTCTGCCTCTCGGGCCTGAGTTCGGGATGCAAATGGCAAGACACGGGACCCCCCCCCACCGAACCCAGCATGTGTTCGCGCTTTGCCCCGCAACAACAGTCGTCATGACTTTAGGGTAAAGTCAGAGCAGTCCTAGAGGGTCGGACTGTTTCGTGTTTCGGATACATCCTCCTCGAGCCAAAACTTGTTGCAGACGTGGGTGTAGCCCGTCGTATCAGAAAGTGGAGTGCCGCAAGACTCTAAGTAGACTGAGAGCTCCAGCTCATAAAGGCAATCAGGAGGAACCCCTTCATGTCAAGAGGCCCGAAGATCGTGACTTTTCCATCCCAAGTCAAAAACCTGAAGCTAGATCTTGTGAAGTGTACGGGAGGATTCAGCGGCAAGAAGGGGCCCGTTAGCTCCGGCTTCAAGGGAGCCCCACCAGCAGGCTCGGTTTGGAGTTTGGGGATTGCAGGGTCAGGTCAAGGTATGATTTGCAGGTCAGGGGATCGGGACCTTGGACTACCGGATTTCTTTCGGGTTCAAGCTCCAGGTTTTTGGTTTCGGGGCTTAGCCACCTCGGTTTGTGGCTAGAGCCAGAGGGGAGGAGTTGATGGGGGAGGGGCCCTGATGCTGGCGGATCTCGCTGGGCTTAGGATTTGATTTTTTGTTAGAGCTTCAGGGTTGTTACTATTTGTGGTTTGGGCCGGGGATTTTTCGAATGCTTACGCTGGGGTTTTATCTGTACTCGTGGTGAAGGGTAGTGGAGTTCGTGTGCGAGGTGTTTGTGAGTGTGGGGGCTTCACTGCTGCCTGTTCGGGGCTATACGGTGTTGGGGTTAGCGATTTTTCGGTTTACTGATCGTTGCCGGAGGGCATAAGAGTGTTAAGACTTCTTGCCTGGGGTGGGCTCTCCGTTTAGAGAGCTTCACTGTCTGGCGTGCTAGGACGCTAGGATTGATTGTTTAAGGGTTTAGGTGCTGGGGGCCGGTAAATCTACTGAGGTTCACTGTTGTGGGCTTATCGCTTGGGGCTTCAAAGTGTGTTGCCAGACTTTTTAGTTTTAGGGCGTCAATGTCCATGTTTTCGGGGGTACTGAGATTTTATGTTTCTGGCCTGTTAGAGGTGATATTTTTTGGGTTAGGGCGGTTAGGGCTTGAGAATGACAAGCACATTGTTCGGGTCTTAGTGTTTTGAGGTAGCGGGGTTAGGTTTTGTTTTGCTGTGTGGGTTCACCGCTCAGGTGACAGTATATAGTGTCTGAGATTTTGAAGTTTTGGGATCAGGATTTTAGGGTTTCAAAGCTGTAGAGCCGCGCTTCCCAAGAGTCTTAGTGGCTCAGGATTGGGCATTTTCGCGTTTTGCATGTAAGAGTTAGCATGTGACTAGATTTTTTTTTGCATGGGGTTCGGGGTTGGATTGATCGCGTGGTATGGGAGACTTTAGATTCTTTTGGCCTATTGTTCGGTTCAGGGTCGGGAATTGCATGCGCAATGTCTGATATTCAACCCTCTTGTGCTTTCACAGTTTTTGGGGGCATGGTTCGGGCTGTGATATGTTGGCACAGGGGAGGTTAGCTCTAAAGAAGCTGTACAGTTTGGGGTTTAGCGTGATTGTTTGGATGTTCCCGGCATTTTCGTCTGGAGGGTGCGGCTGTTTAGCTTAGCTTTCTGGAAGGCAATGTTCCGAGTCTTGAGTTTCGGGGTGTTTCGGGTTTACTGATGGAAGACAGGGCTTTCGGGGTTGGTTCTTGGCTTCGTCTGGGTTGTTTAGGGTTGGGGGTCCTAGGGTCTAGGGTCTGTGGCTTGATGGTTGCGATGTTATAGGTTTATTGTTTTGTCGTTAAAGGATTGTCAAACTTAGCTCAGGGTTTGTTGTTCATCTTGGGTTCAAGATTCAGAACTCGGAGTACCTGGTTTGGGGCTTCGCGGTTTTTTGATTTCAGGGTATGTCGTTTCGGGGTTCGTGTTTCAGGCTTCCGGCTCTTGTTCACGGTGTTATGGGGCTGAGGGGCTGGGAATGGTAGCAATACATGGGGTTTCGGGCACTGTGAGACTCTGGGGGCTTGTGTGTGTTTTGGGTCAGTGATTTTCGGGTCTACTGCTCGGCACTTGCAAGTTTGGGCCTTCAGGATTTATTCCGGGAGGTTCGGGGCTGGTTTAGAGTTTGTGAATTCTCGGATTCTTTGTTTGTTTTCGGAGGGTGAGGTTGAGGCTCTGTCATGTTGGGTACAGGGTTTCAGGTTTAGCATGCAGGGTATGTGGTGTGTGGGGTTGCAAACTTTGGGTGCGGGGTTTTCGGTTGTTGAAATTCGAGGTAGAGTTTTTGGACAAGCTTATTCGTTGTTTCTTGTGGGTTTAAAATCGTACGGTTCGAACAGAAAATTATAAAGGGTTCATTGTTGGTGATTCTAGGTTTAGGTTTTCGAGGCTTAGTGTTTCGGGGATTGCGCTGATGTCCTGCACCTTGTTCAAACCGGAGGGCACAGGGTTACACTGGGTTTAGGCTCTGCAGTCGCTGAGGGTGATCTGTGGCTTTAAGGCTTTCGCCCGTCAACGGGTGTAGCTGGTAGAACTCAAGAGTTGAGAGGGGTCCCGACAGTTTCGGGTTGTTTAAAGTGGTGGGGTTGTTGGGCTTGTTCTTCCTGATCGGCCTCAAACTTCAGGAGAAAATCCTTATTCGCTTGGCAAGGAGCCATCTCTCTGCATTAGGGCGCAAAACCTGGAGGCATCCAGCAGCCGCCTCCGCCCGTGAACAAAGGCGGCGAGAAGGGCAAGCGCCGGGGCGCCAGATGTAATCTGGAAGGACTAAAGATTCCTCCACGTCGCACGATGCTGGATGCCGAGGGCTAGGAAGTTTATGGTATTAGGTGCGACTTGAGCTCGTGTCTGACGATTCTTTTTGTCCTCCATGCTTAGATTCAACCGCAAACCTTGGCTGGCGGACGCCTGAAGTCGCTTCACCCCTGCCGTCCATTTCCATGTCGCTAAGTCGGGGTCGTCGGCATATAAGCAGGGCTTTACGGCTGTGGGGATTCCAGCGTGGATTCGCAGCTGCACCTCCCGCCGGAGCAGAGGAAGAGGTCCTCCGTGCTTTGCGTGCAGCAGCAGCGGATGCAGGTGTAAATCCGCTTGACCTCTACCAGCCATGGCTGCTTATGGACGTGCTGCAGCAAAGCCTTCTGCTTCTGCACTCAGCCACCGGGGACGCTGGTGCTGCCGTGGTGGCTGCAGCGCTGCTGACGCGCCTGGCTACTGCACCCTGGAACCTTACATCACTAAGGCGCCGCTGTGATGCCTTGGTGCTAATGCCTGTGTACATGAATCTCGCGAAGTCTTACAGCGAGGCACAGTCACGGAGGGGTGGCCGCAGCGAAAGCACAGTCGGCGGGGCGGCAGGCGCGGCGAAGGCTGAGAAAGCGGAAGCCGACTTGCAGAAAGCCACGGAACGCTTTCAGGCATTCACGCAGGAGACGGGCTTCAATCCAGTACAAGGCCTTGGTTACCAAGTCGGCGTGGTACTTCCCATTGGTCTGACCTATTTCGGGGCCCTTTACGGTATCATGAACCACCCCGACTCCTTCCGAAGCTTCGTGACATCACCCAGCCTTTGGCTGGATTCTTTGGTGCTTCCGGACCCCTATGGCGTGCTGCCGTGTCTCTCTGCGCTGGCTCTGCTGGCGAACGCTGAGCTCAATGCTAACCCGCCCCAGCGGGGTCAGGAGGAGACTGCAGAGTACTTCAAGATGGTCATGAGGGGAGCACTGCTCACCTGGGTGCCCTGGACCGCAAGCAGCTTGCCTGCGGCTACTTTCCTCTTCATCGCGACCAACGGCTTTTACACGGCAGGGATCACATGGTACTACCGCAAATACTGCTGGGTGCCACCAAAGCCTAGCATGAGCTGGAAGAAGCGCTAAAGAAGAAATGCGCAGCGTGTGGACACTGAGGGTGATGCCGGCGAGAACTTCACGACGGAAGTTTCGCGGCAGACGAAACATGGAGCACACAGGGCTTGCTGAACACCGTTTTGTACTGCTCGTAGAGTCTCGCCACAGCCGCCTTACCTGGCCTGCTGAAAAAATTGGCTGCTCAAGGCCACTTGAGGTAATGAGCTTGAAAAAAGGTTGGGCGCAATGGAGCACTGCGTGTTTGCCGTGCGGGAACGATTGGGATGATCCATCGGATGGCAATGGTAGTGCAGAGTGCAGATTTGAAGGAGTCCTTGAGAGGACATTGGTGTTTCTAAGTGTTTCTGGGCAGTGCGACATGGCCACCCTTTAGATCTTGAGACATGCACTGAATCGTAAGGCTTTGTGTTGAAACCGCCCAATTTCAGTGCTTGGGGAACCCCCAAAGACATGATGAATCCTCCCAAAGGAGACACCGGTGCCGTCCGAATAGATGATAAGCGGGCAGTCGTACGCAGATGAAATGGCCATTCCTGGACAAGAATCCTTTTGAGGCGCGCGCCTCTCTGTTCGGATGCTTCTTGGGCAGATGATTGAATATCATATCAATAAGAATCCAGGCTAGAAGATGTGAGCATAGATAAGTGCGCATCGGGCGGAGAAGGTGGGAACATACATACTAGCACCAGCAAAGCACCAGCGAAAGTACTACATGTACTTACGTATGTATGTATGTATGCATACCTACAGTATGTATGTATGTATGTATGTATGCATGCATGCATGCATGGATGGATGGATGGATGGATGTATGTATGTATGTGTGTAAACAATCCCCACAAGCGTAGACAGTATGTGTTCCAAGGCCCAAGGTTATCTCCGGCCGACAGGATACAGTCCGGGGAGCCGCACGGGAGCCCGTGAACTTCGAGGGGGTTGCGCAGAGGTGAAGACATCGTTTGACTGCCTTCGGTGTTGTTTCATGTGGAGTGTCTGTGAGTCCTTAGTTTGTAGTTCTTCTTGGACCGAAGCGGGGATTTGGTTGTGTGTTTGTGATGCTTCATGCGCTTGCTCGGTTTTATTGTGCTGTTGTTGTTGATGATTTTGTTGCAGGTTTGTATTTCCCTTTGGACTTCTGCTGACGACGATGGCATCCATCACAGCAGTAATTATTGCTGCGGCTACTATTACTACTGTAGCTACTATTACTACTATTACTTACTCACTTACTTACTTACTTACTTACTGACTGACTTACTTACTTACTTACTTACTTACTTACTTACTTACTTACTTACAGACTTACAGACTTACAGACTTACAGACTTACAGACTTACAGACTTACAGACTTACTTGCTAATTGCTTTCTTGCTTGCTTGCCTACTCGTTTGCTTTCTCACTTGACTTGCCCACTTACTTACTTACCTACTTACCTACTTGCACACATATATGCGCATATGCATACATACATATTTGTGTGCCCGTGCTTGAGCTCCATGCAGGTAACGTAATCTGCCACGCAAGAACACCCCACACTTCTCAACCGTAGGAGTATCAGACTGAAGCTTGTAGGCTATGGTGTAATCCATCACGGGTCGCAAGCCAAGATCGACGGGTTGCAAGGCTGCACAAAGAGTTGTTGCCCTGTGTTCCGGGTTTGGGATAAACTAGCCAGGAATATGAATCTTTGCAAGTTCAGCAGGAGTTCCGGCAAAGCTGTTTGGGACCGTAGTACGTATAAGCTGCATTAAAGTTAGAACATGCAAAATGGATGAGCACTGCTCGGATTCTGTTGTTCAGGCTTTCCGGGGCATTGGCTCTTGTCTGGGGCCCTTGGTAGGCTTGGCCTGGTAAGATGTATGACGAACTGGAACCGACAAATGATACGACGTGTTTAAGACATATGCTCAACAACAACAGCAACAACAACACAATCTACCTGGAGTGTGTGCTAGGCACACGCATTTGTGTTTGTGCGTATTTGCCTTCTCTCGTTTCTAAGTTTTTGCAGGAACCATCTGGTTCACACGTTCCGGGCATGCCTCAAAACACCATCGACAAATCTTTCACACATAACCAGCTCACTGTCGGTGTTTTGCGCTGCTTTGTCAGCCCCCTGCCCAGCTTGGACAAACCGTGCAACTTCGCTTCAAAATGACATCCTGCCAGCAGAAACAGCACGCATATGGATCCTTTCAGAACCCCTGGTACAGACATTGCGGTTGCAAGTGGGGGGCTGCGCCCCCCCCAACCCCCCCGCTCTTTGTCTTAGCCCTGCCGCGACGGCGGGTCTGCGAAAAGTTTGGGGGCGGGTTTAGCAGTTTAATTAGCGAAAGTGCAGAATCTGAATTAACAAATGAGGGGGCGTGTTCAAGATACTAGTATGTGACGAGGGGCGTGTTTAAGATGTATGATGAACCGGTCTCGCCCATATATGATGAACCGGAATCGCCACATGAGGAGCGTGTTTAAGATATATTTGTTATGATGAACGGGAAGCGCCATAGGAGGGATCGTGTTGTAGATATATGATGAACCGGAATCGTCACATGAAGCGGCGTGTTTGAGATGTATGATGAACATGGACCGCCAAATGAGGGGCCGCTTTTGCAAATATGATGGGCCGGACTCGCCACATGATGGGGGCCGGGTGTTTAGGATATACTATGATGAATCGGAATCGCAGTAGGAGGGGGCGTGTTTAAGATATATCATGAACCAGAATCGTTACATGAAAGGGCGTGTTTAAGATGTATGATGAACCGCAATCGACTAGTGGTTTCGCGTGTTTAACAGATATGACGGAATCGCCCCTGCAAGTTGTAATCCCCCAAGAGATTAGGGCAAAACAGAACCTTGCAAGTTGTAATTCCCCCATAGCCTCATGCACAGCAAGACCCGGCAAATTGGAATTGCCCACTAGCTGCCTCTCCAGTAGCTTGAGGCAAACTACCCAGTAGTTTGACACAACGTCAAACCCTGCAAATTGTAATTCCCCAATAGATTGATGCGAAGCAAGACCCTACAAATTGTCATTCCTCAATAACTTGACGCAAGAGCCTCGAAATTGTAATCCCCCAATAGTTTGAGGCAAAGCAGTACCCTACAAATTGGAATTGCCCAATAGCTTGACAACGCAAAACCCTGCAAATTGTGATTCCCCACGGGTTTGAAGCAAATCAAGACCCTGCACATTGTAATTCCCCACAAAGAAACCTTGCTAGTTGCAATCCCCCCACAGCTTGACACAGGACAGGAGCCTCTAAATTGCACTCCCCCAATAGCTTGGCGCAGAACGGGACCCTGCTAATTGCAATTCCCCAATAGCTTGACGCAAAACAGTGGCAACCGCTGCAATTTACAGTATTTGCAACCAAAAAAGAAGAGCCAACGTTAGCAAACGAGATCGGGGACCGCCAGCGCTAGGAAAAGAAACCCTCCGCCGGCCTTCGGCACCCAAGCTTTTTGGACATCGTGCGAGATGTCACGCATGGAGAAGAGCATTAGAGAGCTCGCGTCTTGAAGATGTAGAGAGTGGGGGTCCTGGCCAAGATTTACATCGCCCGGAGCTGCAGCACCTCTTGGACAGAATTGCTAAAGGGTTGGGATGCAAGACACATGGCAGACTCGGGCAAACCTTCAGACGCGCACCCTCAAACTGCCTGCATGTACAGCATTTGCACCAGACTGAGGCAGAGCAAGAAAATCGAGTAGCCCGGCGCGAGCGGCAAGATCTCAGACCAGTTTTTCGATGTGTTGCAGTCGCCAGCAGACGAACACGGCATCAGTAAGATGCAGGCATGTGGAAGCTCCTGAAACTAGGCCCTAGATTAAGCGATCGGGTGCTGCAGACAGTCTTGCAGCAGGAGCGGTTCCCGCCAATCCGTAGAACTTAATGGTGTGTGAGTGCCTTTATGCCCTACCCTGACATCATTACATGTTGCAGCAGTGCACTGCCTCGTGGAAGCGCAGTGTCCAGCAGCCAGGGTCACTGAGTTGAAAGGCGCGCCCACGCTGACCGCAGACATCTTGCCAGAAAGATGCAGATTTCTTTTAACTGCTGTAAAGTCAGCATTCGTCAGGGAGTGGAGTGCAAAGCTTGAAAGATCCTGCAAGGGTGTGAGAAGGATGTGGGTTCAAACCTTTGAACCAGATTCGGAGGTTCCTGTGGGATCTAACAGGTTCTCCAGCTCAGTTCACGCTCTCAGTCGTTTCCGGAATGATTGCTTCGTCGGCACGGGTTTAGAGGTGTGTTGATGGCCCAAGTTGAGCTATATTGAAAAGCTGGTTGGGCTCTGGAAAAGTTCGCAGCCATAAGGCCAAAAGACGTGCTGGCCAAGGAAGCTGGGCCTTCCCAGGCCGACCAGCCTCTTGTGTGCCGGAACGAGACAGTGTGCATCCGGGTGGAATGCTGAGTCAGCAGACTGTTTAGGCCAAGTTTAGGCCCTGCTGCTATATACACGGCCTTGAAGCATTCTGACCAAAATCTTGTCATTTGGCAGGCTTTTCCAGCGCGGCATGTAGCAGGTCGGCCAGCATCGACCAAGGTGCACTAGCAGAGCCTTACAGCGTCATCTTTATCCTTTCCGTCAGTTTAGGGAGGACGGGAGGACTTTACTCCTGATGCCGAGCTGCTTAGAACGAATGTTGAAGGATGACTTCCGGGATGCAGCATTATCTTGACTTGTGGGGTGTACCCACAAAAACCTTCGGCGCGCCGCATTATGGCCCTCGAGCCGATATTTTGCACAGCGGGTTTTCAGTCTTCAGGAGCCTTTCATTTCGACAGAGGTTTTGGGTGCCCATTTGGTACAACAGCCGTTGTAGAGACTGAATGACTGAATCAGATAGCAGCGGTTGACTGTCCACTCTCATCGATACAAAATCCCAGCCGTCGGTGGCTACCGGCCAGGCCCCGCCGCTCTCCGTCCAGCCGCGCACATAGCCTTGCAGCTGTGCACTGCTTGGCTCCTTAAGCCAGTCAGTCTACTGCGTCATTGTTGGTATC